TCACATCCAATCACGTTAGTTTAGTTTAAATCGTTCATTTATAAAACATCAATTCAATCATACATTCATCTAAATAAAGTAGAAATTACATAATTATAGTACTTAGTGAAAATTAAATACAATCTCTGTGGGTTCGACACTCTTACTTCAGTACTATATTACAAAACTTGACATCGTACACTTACAGTATAATTTCACTTTGCATAAAATGCATGGCAACAACTCAATAAATATTCGTTCACTTATCTCCCTATGATCGTGTCCATAGAAGGAGAATTGATTGTGAGCCACATGAATTTTATTTTGGAAGAATATTTTTTTTTTCTCTCAGTGGAAGCCATGCATGCATGCATGCAGAATAAAAAGCAGAAACTAAAAGAAAATCATCTTTTTTTACTGTCTTATTTATAGTTTCTAGCTTTCACTTTTTATTCTCTGCCTAAAGTTGAATGACTCCCAATGCTTTCTTTCTAAGTCTCCTCTATTTATGTTATATTATTGTTAAATTGTATTCTTATATTATTAGTTTAATTGATAATAAATCTACATACAAATCACCCATTTTTTCCAACATATTTGACGGTTCCTTAAGAGGTGGGCTCCTTTAGATAAAGAGGCACTTCAACATATATTGAAATTTGAATTGGTTTTCTCAACGTCGGGATGGATAACATATTCGATTTTGTTGATCTTTAAATTTGAATGGGATTCACGTGTCAACAAATTTTAACTTCACTTTCTTCCACGTGTACGTTATCTACACTCTTGATTAAACATGTTAGAGGCCCGAACCGTGACTTTCAATGTAAAAGGCAAAGGTCACAGTCGTATGTTGGTGCTCACGTCAACATAGGGAAAAATATTTGGGTGTAGGAAAAAAATGAGAAAATGAGAATGCAAGAGTCAAGTTTAATATTTTAGAGTGGAACACTAATTTTCAACTATCCTTATGATGATACAAACTGTGAGTATTTATAGGCACAAGAGAAGTAGCTAATTATAGAACTCTCTTCTGCAAGTCCTATGGACATTCTTAGATTAACCATCCGCGTAGGGTCCTTCAGAGATGGTGCTTATTTCTTTGATGGGATGTAGTCTGTGTATCTCTATAGATTACTTTGCTGCCTTGATTTTGCCTATGTGGATGTGCCATGATACTGTTGGCCCAAGAGAAATTGTAATGAATAAGATTAATGACACAATATGAAGTAATAAAGATCATAATAAGAAACAAAATTAAAAGTAAAGAAGAACAAAGAGAGTTAATGCTAACTAACAATATGGAGAGAAATTACACACACGACAATAATGTATAAACAAAATTGACAGAGGAGCCTTATATTTATAGGCTACGTTCCAAACCCTAGAAGAGTCTTAAAAAGAAAGAAAATCTGTTAAAATTAGGTTATAATTGCACATAGAACTTTGACCGAGAGAGAATTTCCTTTTCTTATTCAATTTGGATACAATCTTCATTCTCAAGTAAAAATCAAATACGCAATCTCTCAAAACTCCTAACCATATTCGAGTTACAAAATTTAACAATCTCCACCTTGACTCAAATATTGGTGCAATAAGCGGAGCTCCACAAAATTTCTTTACCTGAGAAATAAACCCGTTTGCATCAAAATGAAATGGTCAAACTCCTCAACGCAGTAACCAAAATTCTCCATATAAACCATTATCCTCTGTATGGTGTCCATAAGCGATACCTGAACCCTACTTTCGGGTTCCCAAAATTTCACCAAGGAATTAATATTTATCAAACAGGGTCAAAGCACACCCTGTAGCAAAAATTATACAAAATGCCCGAACAGAAGGCCCCTTACTAGAACTGTCACCTTCAATGTCCCCAAAAGCATTACAGACGTCACTGACACAACGATACCTATGCTCAATGGATTCAACCCTCGCAATTGAACATAGTACAACCGCTGAAATTGGTGGTAAAGTGGAATCACCAACGCTCCCTTGAGCAATGTTCTGAACCAACCCAGAGATAATGTACCAAATTGAATATCCACCATGGTACTGAAATTGTCGAGATATCTCTTAACTGGTTCTGTGCTCTCCTGTAAGATGTACACCTGAGACCTTCTCCATCCCTCTAATACCACCCGGACACCCTTTTGGACATTCAAGACTCCACCTCCACCATAGAATTTATACCTTTTACATCAAGAGTACTAAGCGAGATGAGATTCTTTTTTAAGTCTGGAACATGTCAAACCTAATCAATTTTTCTGACTGTCCCATCCAGCAGCCTAAATCTGACTCAATCGATCCTAACAATACGATAAGCCTGGTTGTTTTCCATTACAACTCTACTTTGCTGAAAAGCCTTATATGTCTGAAAGAAATTTCAATTGGAACACATATGATGTGAACATGTCGAATTGAGAATCAATTCCTCATTAGGCCTAGATTCAACGTCAAATACCATGGTCAACATCACATCCCCGCTGCCTGAAAATGCTTAACTACATTTGTTTCGTCTGAAGTCAAAGGTTGTGCTCCACGATTTGTAGCTAAATCACCTTTAGCCTGCAACTTATTACAATCCTTCTGAATATGTCCCTTACGTCTACAGTAGAAGCCAAACAAATTGCTGTTATTCTTAGATCTGCCCATTCGTCGACCACCATGAGATACAAGAGTTTCTTCATCCCTCGATGTAGTTCCAACCAAATGTTTCAACCTCTAATTTGAGTGCAAAGTATCATAGACGTCGTCTATAGTCAAAGTATCCCAACTATACAAAATGGTGTCTCGAAACAACGAATAAGAGCCAGCAGGGAAAACAACAAGATCAAGGTCAGATCTTCTTCATCGTACTTAATCTCCAACGTCTCTAGATCTGTAACTATTTCTTTGAACACGGAAATACGGTCTTCCAGTGACCCTCACCTCACCATGTAATGGGAATACAACATCTCTTTTACAGCCAGTTTGCTCATGAGACTTTTAGACATGCATAACTGTTCCAGTTTCAACCATAAAGCAAACATATTCTCTTTCAAGACATCCTGCAGAATATTGTTTGATAAATGAAAATGGATCTGCGATAAAGCGTTCTGATCCTTTCGTTGTTTCTCTTCCTTTATCCAATCAGCTAGTATCTTCTCAAAATCTAGCAGTGCATGTTCCAAATCCAATTGCGCTAGAATGGCCCTCATCTTTATTTGCCATAAAGAAAACCTGTATTGTGATCTGATAGCAAAATGTCATACTTCATGGTAGTCATCTCTGAAAAAACCTCAATCAATCCACAGAAGAACAACTAAGCTCTGCTACCACTTGTTGAACCCAAAGGGATTGTAATGAATGAGATTAATGACATAATATGAAGATCACAACAAGAAACAAGATTAAAAAAAGTAAAGAAGAACAAAGAGAGTTAATTGCAGAAGAATGATGTATATTAACTGACAATATGGAGAGAAATTACATACACAGCAATAATGTATAAACAAAATTGACAGATGAGCCTTGTATTTATAGACCACGTTCCAAATTCTAGAAGAGTCCTAAAATGTCAGAAAATCTATTAAAATTAGGTTACAATTGCACATAGAACTTCGACCGAGAGAGGATTTCATTTCTTTATTCAACTTGGATACAATCTTCATTTCCAAGTAAAAATCAAATACGCAATCTCACAAGACTCCTAACCATATTTGAGTTACAAAACCTAATAGATACCTCGTACTGATCTTCTCCAGGGATCATGCAACATTGATTCAGCGAGGCTAATGTTGTTGCCTTGAAGACTGCTAGCCTGCAGTTCTCGCTAGGAAGCAATCCCTCCTCCTAGATTGTGGGAGTTCTATCGGCCTATTTCGACTTGGTTCATTTGTTTCATCGGGCCCTTAATATCAAGTCAATCATTGGTGTGATACCCTTAACTCTGATGAATTTCGAAGAACTTTGATTGCAAAGCTTGGTATGGGGTGTGACCGACCTCAAAGTATATGGGTTAGTTAGGCCCTAATTCATTGTAGCCATAACTGGGGACTGCCTTGATATAGAAACAGCTAGAAGATCATAATCTAGTTGAAAAATAAGAGAAATAAGAAGAGTTTACATAAATGAACATAAATTTTAGCTCGAGTGTCAAATTTTTGCGAGCAAGTACAATTTGAAAATGTTTTTTGACTCTGTCAAGTGATGATGTTGGCCTTTGAGCCCCTTCTAAATTGTTTTTACACTAGACTTAATCTTACAAAATACGTATATTCTTTTCTAATATAATTTAAACTTTGAAAGTGTTAACACGATTCAATTATGTTTGTTCTAGATTCTGGCTACCATTGTTCAAAGATCAAGAGTTTGGCAAGATGGGTCAAGTGATGTATATGGGGGGTTCACTAGTGCTAATTACGACATACATACGACGCAACGAGATTACTGTTTAAATCCACGTATTGCCTAATCTTAAAAAAGCAAGCAAAATTGCAGATATTCTTATGCTTCTTTACAACTTGCCTTTTACTTTTTGGTATTTCCCACTTCCTGACTACTAAACTTTTAAAAATTAGTTCCTTTACTGGTCCATTGTATTGGTACCTTTTTCCTTTCAATTTTCTTTGTTAGGATTTAAGAAAGTATAAAGCATGTGACCCTGCCTAGGAATGAAAATAGAAGAAAGTGAATTTTAAGAAAATGTGTACAATAGATTCCCAAGAACAAGGGCAAACAATTTCAACTTCTTATTAGAGTAGACATGGAATGTGCTTTCTTTTCGTAGCTTGGCCGTCAGCCGTAAATCAAGACCTTAGTGTCATAGCTTAGTTGATCGGATAGGCTGTAGACCCTCCCTATTCCCATGTTTGAATCCATTATTTAAAAGCTCTTTTTTTTTTTTTTTTTGTCTAATTCATTCTCAACCACACATTTTTCAATAAAATAATTTTATATGTAAACTCAAATTTTTTTCATATTTTTTAACACATTTTCCCAAAAAATAAAGCTCAAACAAACTCTAAATAGACCTTCGAAGAGAAATAACTGCACGGCCCGCATCATATATAGACTATAATATATTTTGGGAGACATATAAATTATAAAGTGCATCATACAATTACCAAGGATACATCTTAATGATTGTTAAAAACCTCTAATTCTCTCAAACTTTTTCATCCCTCTCTTTTCTCATTCAAAGTGCATATAACAGTACATATAAAATCAATTAGATATTCCATATTTACGAAGGAATATAATATGTTGATTGATTGAATTTTCATAGCTTAACTTTGACAGTAAGGGCCCTTTCTCCTTTTGTTGCTTTCTGTCTTTCCTGTCTCCTTGTCTTTCTTTAACTCTCTCATTCCTTTTCCTTTTCCTTTTCCTCACTTTTCCTTTCCTTTTTCCCTCTTATTTTCCTCAGTGGGTACCTGATTCTCTTCACCAGCTCCCGTCACGGATTATAATGATTTCAAAATGAGTAGATTTCACTGTGCCCTCCCCAGAGTGAATTCCAAATTGGGCTCTTTGATGCTTGTCTCTGAGAGGCTTGATGAGCTCATTTCAGATACTCTGTCATAGCTTAAGCACTTTGGTTCCATGTCCTGTTGTTCACCATCATTATACACACATATGAATACACGTTTCTGTATGTATGTGTATATATGTATATTTGTATGTGGGTGGGTGCGTGGGGGTGCGGTGAGAGGGGTGTTATGTACACACACCAAGTGTGTGAAATGTGAGAATATTTATAAGGACGATTGACAAAAGGAATAATTAGGGAATAACCATCATGCAATTCTATTAACTCTTTGTAAAGATCTGTAGGCTTGTTTCAGTGGATGTTCATATCTAACATTCAACACTTACTCTATGAAATCTACTTTTTTGACTAATGGAAAAACGTAATCCAAAGTAATCGCATTATAACTAGTCCTACAATGGACTCGTGGCTCTACGCTGATTGTATTTTGATAAGGTAGACTTGAGTATGCATGATTTGACTACATAATAATAATAATA